GCTACCCACGTCTGATCCAGCTTCCTGCTAGTAGGAGCCCTGGGAGGCAGCAGGTGGCGATGGCTCAAGGGCTTGAGTCCCTGCCATCTGTGTGTATGTGGGAGGGGTCCCAGGTTGAGTTCTGGGCTCCTGACTTCAGCCTGGTCCAGCACTGGCTGTTGTGGGCGTTTGAAGAGTGACCCAGCAGATGGAAGATTCTCTCTCCCTCTCCCTCTCCCTCTCCCTTTCCTTCTCCCTCTCCCTATCCCTCTCCCTCTCCCTCTCCCTCTCTCCCTCTCTCCCTCTCTCCCTCTCTCCCTCTCTCCCTCTCTCCCTCTCTCCCTCTCTCCCTCTCTCTCTCCTTCTTCTCTTCCCCCCCTCTATATATATACATATATGCGTATAGTAAATAAATAAATAAAATAAATATTGCGGGAAGACAGTTGTCTTCTGAAGAATTTAAGCTACACAGACCTAGAAGGAGATGTTCCTGCCTCGCCAGCCCACGGTGGGAGCAGCCGCCGCTGTTGGCTGCTGCCTGTTCTTTCAAGCCCATTTCTTATGTTGGCAAATGTGTCTGCGAGTACAAAGGCTCACGTTGTCCAGCCCGCTGCTCTTAGCCAGGGGTGATCTCGCTCCTCCCGCCGGGGATAGCCGGCAGTGCTGGTTGTTGCCAGGTAGAAGGGGTGGAGACTGGCATCGGGTAGGGGGAGCCCGGGCTGGGGCTAACACCCTGCAGTGCACAGGACGGCCCCCACCATGAAGATCCACCTGGGCCAGGCCGGCAGGAGCGCTGAGATCCAGAAGGCCTGACCTCTGTGGTGGTGTGTGGCTGCGTCGCTGCACGATGCTCTCGGCGGTGGGGACGCCGCGCCGGCTGGCCTCGCCTGCCGCGGAGGCTGTGCGTGTTGTCATTGCCACTGTAGGGGCAGCTCGAGGGCCTCACACTTGATTGCTGCAGCGTTATCCACACACCTCTGTGCTCGTGTACATTGTCCAGGGCAGGTCGCAGGCGCAAGTGCCGGATGGAGGGGTGGCCCTCTCCAGGGGCAGGGCTCCCGTTTCCCTGAGGGGACCGCTGGGGAGGGTGGTGGCTGCAGCTGAACCGTGCGCCCTCGTGCCTGTCCAGAGGTGCACATTCAGTCGTCGCAGACCGTGGAGTCCAGCGGTCTGTACACCCTGAAGAGTGTTCTGAAGGCGCGGCTGGTTAAGGAAGACAAGGACGCCCAGTTCTACTGTGAGCTCAGCTACCGGCTGCCCAGTGGGAACCACATGAAGGAATCCAGGGAGGTCACCGTCCCCGTGTTCTGTGAGTACTGGCCTGTGCCCCTAATCGCAGGGCTGGGCTCTCCCCATCCAGCCCGGGTTCCGCTCCTGGGCTGAGAGCCACCCTCTGCCCACGCAGACTCCGCAGAAAAGGTGTGGTTGGAGGTGGAGCCCGTGGGGGCGCTGAAGGAAGGGGACCGTGTGGAAATCAGGTGTTTGTCGGACGGCAACCCCCAGCCCCACTTCAGCATCAACAAGCAGGTGCGGAGGGCTCTGTGCAGGGTGCGGGCGGAGCTGCTGGCTGAGGCGCCCCGGGGGCAGCTGTGCCCACCTTTCCTCCCCCTCCCAGAACCCTGGCACCAGCGAGATGGAGGAGGAGGCCACCACAGACAATGGCATCCTGGTCTTGGAATCAGCCCAGAAGGAGCACAGCGGGCTCTACGAGTGTCAGGGGCTTGACTTGGAAACCATGATCTCGCTGTCCAGTGAACGCCACGAGCTACTGGTGAACTGTGAGGGGCCAGGGGCCAGGACGGGGGCCAGGTGGGGGGATCAGGGCCGGGGCAGCAGGGGACCAGCCCTGCCCTGCCCAGGCCGACCGCACCACTGTGTCCCCAGATGTGTCCGATGTGCGAGTGACTCCTGCAGCCCCCGAGAGCCAGGAGGGCAGCAGCCTCAGCCTGACCTGCGAGGCAGACAGCAGCCAGGCCCTGGAGTTCCAGTGGCTGAGAGAGAAGGTAGCTGGCGGCTATGCGGCCGGGGGTGGAGGGGCGGGGCGCCAATGGCTTGCTCCTTCCCAGCCCCTCTGACCTGTCTGTCACTCCAGACAGGCCAGGAGCTGGGAAGGGGGCCTAAGCTGCAGTTACCCAACCTGAGACGGGAGGCAGCGGGCGGCTACCGCTGCGTGGCATCGGTGCCCAGTGTCCCTGGCCTGAACCGCACACAGCTGGTCAACGTGGCTGTTTTTGGTGAGGCCCGCCGGGTGGGGACCAGGGCGCCCCGAGCCTACCTGCTGCCAGCTCTTTGAGGAGAAAAAGCCCCCCTGCTCCCTGGGAGCCCTGGTGGGGAGCGGGCAGCGGATCAGCCACAGCTGCAGCTCACCCTAGCCTGACCCGCAGGGCCCCCATGGATGGCATCAAAGGAGACGAAGGTGTGGGTGAAAGAGAACGCCGTGCTGAATGTGTCTTGTGAGGCCTCAGGCCACCCGCGGCCCACCATCTCCTGGAACGCCAACGGCATGGTGAGCCGGCCACTCTCTGCCCCGCCCCCACCACGTCCCCAGCCCCCCACCCCCATCCCCCCCGCCCCCTCAGCCCCGCCTTCCTTTCAGGCTAGCGAGCAGAGCCGAGATCCGCAGAGCGTCCTGAGCACGCTGACTGTCCTTGTGAGCCCGGAGCTGCTGGCCGCGGGCGCTGTCCAGTGCACGGCCTCCAACTCCCTGGGCAGGAACACCACCACCATCCTCCTGGAGCTGGGTGAGGGCCGCAGCCCTGCAGGGCCGGCAGGGGCTTTAACTCGTGCTTCCCTAACCCACCTCCCTCTGCCTCGCAGTCAGTTTAACCACCCTCACACCAGAGTCCAGCCCGACCACTGGCCTCAGCACCTCCACTGCCAGCCCTCATGCCAGAGCCAACGGCACCTCCACAGGTAAGCCGGGGCTGGCAGGACAGGGCTGTGCCAGGGCGTCCTTGCTGCCGATTCCACCCTCCCCGCCACCCCCCCCACCAGCCCCCGCACACGGGGAGCCCCAGGCTGGATGGGGCAGCAAGTGATGGCGCTGTCTTTGCCGGACAGAGAAAAAGCTGCCGGAGCCTGAGAGCCAGGGCGTGGTCATCGTGGCGGTGAGCGTGTGCATCCTGGTCCTGGCCGTGCTGGGCGCTGTCCTGTATTTCTTCTACAAGAAGGGCAAGCTGCCGTGTGGGCGGTCAGGCAAGCAGGAGATGTAAGCAACCCCCTGGCCGCCGCCCAGCTTGCTGCCCCCTCGGGCCCGCCCTCTGTCTGCCCCTTAGGAGCAGAGGTGGGGCCCTGGGGCAGCGTGGCCCCCGCTGTACTGCCCACTGCCCAGCTTCCATCCACACTGAACTTTCATGAGCTCTGCCCCGCCCTCTTCCCTTGCCCCCCCCAACCCTGGAGTTGCCAACCTCTCGCCTCCCTCCCTCCCCCCTCCCAGCACGCTGCCCCCGTCTCGTAAGGGCGAACTTGTAGTTGAAGTTAAGTCAGATAAGCTCCCCGAAGAGATGGGCCTCCTGCAGGGCAGCAGCGGTGACAAGAGGGCTCCAGGAGACCAGGTAGGAGGCAGGGCCCAGGACCAGTGCCTGCCACACCTTCAGGGACCAGGGCTAACAGTTCTCGCTCCCCGCACACTAACTCTCCCTGCCCTTCATCCCTCTTGGTGGGGAGTAGGTAGCAGGCCCAGGCAGGGGGCTGAGGGGCTCTGGGAGAGCAAAACCCGTTCCCTCAGCAGTTCTAGATCAGTGCAGTAGCCATGCAGTAGGAAACGTGGTGTCCGTCTCCCCAGGCAGGGTCACGCTGGGGCTGGCTGGCCCTCTCTGGCCTACCATACCCATCCCTCCCTGCTTCCCCCTGGGCTGCTGCACGGAGCTCATCAGCTTCTGCATCATCCCTCCTGAACTCGGCTTCTGCACCTGCACCTCCCCTTCCCCCTCCTTACTTCTCCTTCCCCGTTTTTAGGGAGAGAAATACATCGATCTGAGGCATTAGCCACCAAATCACCGTCGGCGCCCTTCCCGCCTGGACCGTTGCCAGCTCCCTGCTCACTCTCTCCAGAGGGACGGCGGAGAAGCCCCCTGCACCAGCTCACCTGCAGACCCCATTTCCGGGGCCGTGGGCCAGGACAGGACCGTGCTGAGAAGCCCTTCCTGGCCCTGGAGGCCCCCTTTAGGGAGCACCCGGCTACCATCTCTATTTGCCCAGTGAAGCTCACCTGTCCCAGCCATCAACGCCCACCTTATGCCGGCAGCCCCTCTCTGAACCGGTTTCTTGCTCCCATGCTGGATGCCCCAGCACTTCAGCTGGGCCGTTTAAGTGAGAGACCAGTTCTGGAGCCCACCCTGGCTGTGCGTTGGCCATACTGGCTCCGGAGAGGGCCCGAGCAGCACCCAGCAGCAGCTGCAGGATGGCTGCCACCTGCCTGCCTGCGTCTTGGGTGGCCTCAGGACACTTTTGCTTTGGGCAGAGCCCGGGGGGCTGGGTTCATTCCTGTAGCAAATCTAGGCATCGTTTCCAAGGCCTGAGGCCCTGTCTACATTTGGCTCCCAGTCCCTCCAGGGATCACGGAAGGCCAGGATGGGAGGTAGGGGACGAGCTGATGGGCCCAGGGCCGAAGGGGAGGGCCCGAGTGGGAGAATGGTGCTGAGGAGGAGCACCAAGGGCCTGGCTAGAGCTTTGGGGTGTGTGTGCGAGTGTGTGCGCACATGTGCGTATATGCATATATATATATATGGTTTTGTCAGGTTCTGTGTAAATTTGAAATTTCCTTTTTATATTATATATATATATATATGTGAGAAAAATAAAGCTTAATTATCCCAGAAACCTTCCAGTGTTTTTCCTTCATCACGGGGACCACAGGAAGCCAGGGGCCTCTGGACGTGCGACAGCTGCGGAGCGCCGCGGCCCTGCTCTGGGCGGCTGCAGGCCGGGAGCCAGGCCCCTCTCACGGGCTCCTGGCGCTCGGTGCCCTACATGGCAGTATCACCATCCCGCCCCCTGAATGGGCAAGAACTCAAGTCAGCTACAACAAAAGAAACTTTATTTAAAAATATCTTTTTTACAGACATGGGTGCTTGAAAAAGCTCTTCAGTTAACTGTGTATGGAAATGAAAAAAATTAATAAATAACATTAGTATAACAGACCTCTAAACATTAATACATTGGTAAAACAATGGACTTAAAATGAAAATGAATCATAAAGCTCTGCTATTCTCTGTAAGAATATTTACCTTCTGTTTTTCTTACTCTTTACAGGTGAGAATGATTAAATACTGCTAATATAAACTTTTTTATATTAATGACATTTTTAAAATAGTCCATGAAAATCTCATCTAAATGTGTTTTGTTTTCTGCTTAACACTGATATACAAATTGGGACTCTTCAGCCTGGAGAACATACTGAGCGCTCTCCAGCCCCACCCAGGCCAAGAATCTCAAAATCTGGAATGAGGAGGACCTTACAGAGAACTGTTCTATCTCCGGTTCTGTTAGCAGAGGCAGGGGACAAGCAAGGAGAGGCGGGAGAGGAGAAAACCCTGACACTCCCTCCACTCACACAGTGCTGAGGCCCGGCTCTGGGCTCTGGGGGGGGGGGGCCCTGCCGCCCCTCCTGGAGCAGCTGCCCCCCCCCACACACACACACACAGGCGCTGCTCAGCACACAGGTCAGAAGCCTCCCAGTGACGGGAGCGCCAGGTCTGTGGGACGGGCGGGGGTTGAGGCCGGTTCAGGATCCAGCAGAAAGACAGGACAAGAAGGAGCGAGCACTGTCCCTTTCGCAGCAGCCGGGCCGTGGCGGCCAGGAGGCCGGGAGCTGTGCAGGCAGAGCACTGGAGCTGGGGACTAAGCCTCTGACCACACCCGCCAGCTGCTCCCTCCCTGGGCACGGGGCTTCCTTCCTTCCTCAGCAGCGGGCAGGGGCGGGGGACCGCCAGCAGCCTGCCCCTGGGTGTGCCCCTCCAGTCACCGAGAGCGCCCCCTCCCGGCCCCGGCCCCTAGGGGCTGATGGCACTCAAGGTAGAGGCGTGCAGCCACGGCCATCTCCATATTAAGTCCTAAAATGCAGCCTGGGACACAGTGCTGCCTTAGAAAGGCACAAAACGTTTGGCTTTTTTTTTTTTTTTTTTAGTGTGCTAAAAATTGTTTTGTTTTGAATAAAGGAAAAAGATATATAAGGTTAAAAATCCCCAGTCTCCACGGGCAGAAGGCAGATGGAGGAGGCACCTCACAGCTGCCAGGCCCGCCGCCACCCAGCTGGCAGCCAGGCTCTCCTCTGCCAGGCACAGCCACTGGTCTGGAGGCGCCGACTCCTGGGGGCCGTGGGAGGCAACACAGATGTGGCGACCCTCGCCCAGGCAGGCTCGGAAGGGGAGCGGGAGGCAGGAACCCACGCGGAGGCACCCAGTGCACCCCACTTCGGGGCCTGTGCGTGGAGGTGGTGCGAGACCCGGGGTAGGAGGCAGACCTGGGAGCCTGAAGGAGCGCAGAGCGACTTGGGGGTGGGGCACAGGCCCTGGTGAGAGAACTCTGCCCATCTATCCCATGGCCAAGTCGGTAGGAGATGTGAGCTTGGCCTGTGGCCGCGGCTTTGCACACACAGGCGTGGCCAGCCACATTCTTCTCCTGCGCCCCACACAGCTGTCCCGGGGGTCAACAGCTGGCCCTCCCTCCCACACGGGGCTTTCCATCCACCGCACTGGGCTTGCTCTCTCCACCCCAAACTTGTGCTACTTTCCAGAACCAAGCAGCGGGCTTCCCGGGCCCGGTGAAGGCACACGGCACTGCTGGGGCACGGCGGCCCCTGCATGTGGGTGCCTAAACCTGAACAGCACACTCCCGGCAGCCCGCGCCGCCCTCCCTGCCGAGCCCCAGTGTGCGTCTCTGGGTGATCGGGGTGCCTTTGGGTGTACCTTATAACTCTAGTGGTTTTAAAATGCTGGAAACAAGGCAGGAAGCAATGCCCTACAACTCCAGACAGGCTCGACGATGAGATAAATGAGATGAAATGGTTCAGGCCAGCAGAAGCATATTCTAAAAAACTCAAGAGAAAAGCGTTAAGCTTCAATATAGGACTAAGAGATCGATCAGACGTGGAAGACACAGGCAGCTTGTCGAAAGAGCCCTGGGTGCGAACTCTCCTCTAACCTGGGATTCATATTTAATTTCCATCCCGGTGGCCGGCGCCGCGGCTCACTAGGCTAATCCTCCGCCTTGTGGCACTGGCACACCGGGTTCTAGTCCCGGTCGGGGTGCCGATTCTGTCCCGGTTGCCCCTCTTCCAGGCCAGCTCTCTGCTGTGGCCCGGGAGTGCAGTGGAGGATGGCCCAAGTGCTTGGGCCCTGCACCCCATGGGAGACCAGGATAAGTACCTAGCTCCTGGCTTCGGATCAGCGTGGTGTGCCGGCCGCGGCGGCCATTGGAGGGTGAACCAACGGCTTAAAAGGAAGACCGTTCTCTCTGTCTCTCTCTCACTGTCCACTCTGCCTGTCAAAAAAAAAAAAAAAAATGTCCATCCCGGTAACTGGCCCAGCTACTCTACCTTCTTCCTGGCTGGCCCAGGCCTGCATTGCAGGGCTCCCTGCGCCAGGAGCCCACATGCACCGAGCGCAATGGAACAAGGATCTGCTCTCTAGCCAGCAAGAAGCGGAAGCCCTGAGGCTGTGTGGAGGCAGGACACCCAGCACGGGGCAGGACGCACTGCTTCTGAAGAGGCGGCAAAGAAACTGGATGTCAAGACTCAGAAAAGGAAGAAAAACAGGAAACAGCGGTGGTGACCAGGATTCAGTCAGTCTCCGCAGCCTAGGCACTCCCACTCTCACAAAAGCAGAACAGCAGCTGTACCACCACAGAAATCCTCCCAGGGAGCTGGTGGCTGTCCACCCATGCTGTGGCTGTCCTGTCCCCCACTGGCCAGGGACAGACACCTGGGGATCCCTCAAGCTGGAAGGTCACGTGGACTTAGGGTCTGGGGTGCCTGTCCGGGGGCTACACATGCCCCTAGTAAGCTGTGGCCCAGGGTAAAGGGCCAGGGGGCAACCTGGCACCGCTTGTCCTGGGCGCCGGGCAATAGCGTGCAACCTAATGATGACCCTCTCCTTTCTTTAGCTGGAGTGTTTCTGTGTCTGCTACCCAAAGGATCCCTAAGCAGGATGGTCAAAAATGCAGCCTCAACCTTCTTCCGCCGCCCGCCCTCCCCGGTGCACTAAGCTGCCGCGCGCACACTCTCCAAGGAAGACTCCAAGGTGGGCTGAGCTCCAAGCAGTGAGAGCAGCGCTTCCGGCCGAGTCCGCACACCTTAGGGCGACTGTCCAAAGCTTTACAGTCTGGCAGAATGATGAACGGCGCTGGCACTTAGCGCTGGGGTCGCGGACTCCCTACTCTGGGAGAACAGGCTGGCACGGTGAGAACTGACCAGCTCAACCTTCTTACTGTCTGGTCCTCGGAAAACAAACACCTGACTGAAGACCAGGACCTGCAGACCGCTGCCCACCCCTCCCCCACTCTGTCCGTCCCTTCAAGGACACAGGATCAGCTGCAAAGTCCGGTCATGGCTTGGGAAACAAATTCCCAAGAACACAGGAGGCAGTGACAGGTCCCAGAGGGGGCGTAGGGAAACCTTTCCAATGAGAGGGATTTGGGACACCATCAGCCCACCAAAAAAGACCCAGGAAGGCACTAGGTAGGAAAGGGAACTGCGGGCAGGTGCTTTGTTTAAACGGTTACTGTCCTGTGGTGCAATTTTAAGCCAGCATGCCCCTCAACCCACCACATGGCTTCCACCAGAAGACAAAGATGGGGGGGGGGCACAAGACTGACTCCAGGAGAACAGGGGCTGAAGGGGGTCTCAGACGGATGTTACCCAGGATAGCTCAGCCCAGGCAAAAGCTGTGCCTAAGACTACACACTATTTTAGGACCAAATGCAAGTGCTGGGCCGCCCAGGTGCAATCCCCTGTGGTGGCGGGCAAGAACACAGAGCTGGCATTTCCAGCACGCTGTGAAGAATGAACAAACCGTTACAGCCTGGTCGATGGTAAAGCGCTGTTCCTCAATGGGCAGAGGCCGCTCCAGAATCAGAAAGGCCGGCGGCGAGCCGGGACTTAAACCTGGAAGCCCGACTACCATGCTGCGAGCTAGGAGAAGACTGCATTAACCTACCACCCACCTCCTACAAAAGGACTCCATCTTGTGAGCGCTGCCTCGGGGGAACACAGTGCTGGCCCCTGGTTTGCAAGCAAGTGTATTACAGAACTTCGTTTCCAAGTTTGCTGCTCAGACCATAAACGGACTTTACCTTCCCATAGGGGAAACCAACATTATAAGTCGAAGAATGGCAATCCCCCACTCGAGAACACAGAGTCCACGGAACAGCTAAATGATACCAAGAGAGCCAGCCCCAGGTGGTGCGTCCTGGAGCCCAGGAGAAAGGGGACAGAAAAGGGCAGAATGCAGAGTGGGGCTGGGGGCGGCCACAGAAGAACAGGGCCCTGGCAGGGAGCGAGCAGCAAGAACAAACACTGACGGTGAACCGCCCAGTCTGTGACCTAACTGGTGGGAGCTGCGTGGCGGAGCCAGCAGGTTTCCCCACTTCCCAAAACCTTCAGTTTAGCGGAGGGAGGGAAGGGCAGCTGGCGGGTGGAGCACAGCCGGGCCACGGGGCTGTGGAAGAATCCAGGAAGACACAGGCCGAGCAGCAACAGGTGCAGGTGAAACAGAGGGATGAATCTGAGAAAGAGGAAGACTTTTTTTTCCCCACATTTTCAATTAGGAGGGTGCAAGGGACAAACATGGAAAAACTCAAAATAAAACCTAAATTCACAGCAGAGCCACAGAACTGATAACCACCAAATGGAGCATGAAGAATGGGCTACTGGTGCTGAGCCCAAGGAAAACGTCGCTCTGAGAACACCCTCGAAACAAGAGCCACGTGGACTCTCCGAGACTCGCCTCCACGGCGCAGGTGTGCCCTGGGAGCAGCCGAAGACCCCGGGACACGGGCCTGACCCTCGAACGGCTGCAGACACACCCCGCAGAGGGGCTCACGTGCAGCCCAGCACCGGGCCCTGTCTCAGGACTGGCTCAGGTGGCAACGGGGACCGGAAGGACACAGTGAGGCTGCTCCTAGGCTGCAGCACACGCACGGAATCTCAGCAGAGCGGGACACACTCAACAAGGCAGCAGTGATACGACCAGGCACTTTCTGTTCTTGATAAATCTTTAGATGGTGGGCAAAACCTACTCAGAAGGAAAAATTACAGTACAGCTGGACTGGAAGCCGGTGCTGTTTTCTGGCATGACTGGATTTCACCTTAACTCTGCCACCGCGGCAGCGTCTGGAAGCAGCTGGTGGTTGCCTTGGATGTGCTCTGACCCCGAGGTCCCCAGTGTGGCTGCGAGCAGGTGGCGGGGGGGCTGGAAGAGGTGGGGCTGAGGAACTGGGGCCACCCTCCCATAGCCTTGGTTGGTGCTTGGCAACAGGCTGTGAGCAGCGCACGCCTGGCTTGTCTCTGGTCTCTGGCTCCCTGTCGTCTCCCACACCAGGACACACTACTGACACTGGGATACCACCTGCCACGAGAGCCTTGCCAGTGCTGAGTCAACGGTGGTGCCACGCCCTGGAACCTCCAAAACTGTGAGCCCAGTACCCTCTTTTCTTTCTTTTAAAGATTTATTTATTTGAAAGGCAGAGTTACAGGGGTGGGGTGGGGGAATCCTCCATCTGCTGGCTCACTCCCCAAACGGCTTGCAACAGCCAGGGCTGGGCCAGGCCGAAGCCAGGAGCCAGGAGCTTCTTCCAGGTCCTCCACGTGGGTGCAGGGGCCAAGCACTTGGGCCATCTTCTACTGCTCTCCCAGGCCATAGCAGAGAGCTGGATGGGAAGTGGAGCAGCTGGGCCTTGAACCAGCGCCCACATGGGATGTGGGCATCAAAGGTGGCGACTTAACCCACTATACCACCGTGCTGGCCCCTCCTCTTTTCTTTCTAAATTACTCAGCCCAGATACTGTTAGGACAGAGACTAAGGGGCTAACCCCATACCCTCCCCACTATAGTAGTCCTTATTCGCTGCCACCTCCCCAGTTCCCACCCCCAGCCACACTTCAGGAGGCCCGGCTGGCACACCATGTTTCCTGCCATGTAGAGGAGACACTGGGTAACCATGGCAATTGGTACGAGGTCCTGTACCGCTGATCGGGAATCAAAGCGCCTGTGAGGCCAGAGGCAAAAACCCAAAGACAGGGCAGCAGCTGCACCAGGAGAAAAGTAGGGAAAGTGCCTGGTGCTGGAGCCGACAGCCTGAGAGACGGCTGCGCTCAGGAGGCACCTTGCAGATGGGATCTAGAGGCGAAGTGCGGCTGGGACCGCGAGGCAGGCAGACTTGTCACAGAGCAGACCAGCCGCCGGCGAGGAGCAGGTCACACGCTGCGAGGGGAGGCAGCAGAGCCCGCGGCCACAGGGTGGAGGAACGCGAGGGGCTGCTTGGCAGTGTCTACAGGGGCCGACTAGCGATCCTGCCACTGGACAGGGGTCTTCTTCAGGAAGCTGCAGTCACACAGCCAGCTTCGCCCTCACTGTCTCTCACTACAGTACTTTATTCCACCGAATGTCATCTGTTTACTGTGCGAAACACAGTGGTGGACAGGGCAGACGTCCACGGGCCTGCGGTGAAGAGAGGAGGTGACAGGTGACAGTCCCAGAGCCACAGGCGGGACCCCAACTCCTTAACGGGGACAACCCCACTTCTGAAATCTAATCTGGCTCACGGTCAGAGGAGACACACACTCAGATCAGAAGAAAAACTGAGCAGGTGAACCCTCACTGTCTACGCGTGCATCTGAACAGCATGCGATAAAGCTTCCGAGAAACTTCGTGGCGTCCGGGCCAGAAAGTCATCCTGGGGACAGCGTTCCCTTCCCACGAAGCGGAAACTCACGACCTACACCAGAACACGCGGCTGGCACCAAGGCAACAACTCCCACAGACTGTGTTCTGGGGAGGACATGGAATGTATCTGAAGGCCTCTATCTCCAATCAGTTATTATGCAATTAGGATAATTAAAACATCTTCCGTGAACAATGTTCCTACAGATAGCGCTTTGGAGTGACCAGTGTGAGCTGCTGGCATCAAACACGACTACCACGATACAGCAACAGTGCATCCCCCCACCAAACTATCGAACAAGCCACCGCCACCACACAGCATAACACAACACCCCATAAGCTGCCCGGCTTTGGTCAGGCTGGTCACAGCAAGCCCACTGCCAAGGACAGAACACCGAGGAAGGAGGAGCTGTCGGGAAAGGACAGAGGGAGGGTGTTCTACAAACAGAAGACGTTAGCTACTCACTTGACCATCTAAGCCAACAGGAGTGTTGAAGCTGCAACACACACTAGGGCTGGGCTGCATACCACAGGAGATAGGAGTCTTTAAAAGACTCCTCCCTACCTTGTGCTAATTCCTTTCTTGGGATTAACACACACAGCAGGTTAACCTCATCATCACAGGATACACACAGACCACAGACAACAGAGACAGACAGACGGACAGACACGAGGCTACATCCTTAACCCAGGAAAGTCGTAGGTCCTCAGTCAGGACTGACGGCACACACTTGGTCTGTTTTCTGGACTGCTCCCCAGGAAGGCTGCCACATAATGAAAATCCACTCTCGGCGCGGGGCTGAAGGACACCTGCCATGCGCTCTCAGGCCAATACAATGAAACACACTAGCTGCTCCGTTCTCATTCCACGGCGTTGAAATCTCGGAACCACGGACGTGATGCCCCACCAGGAGGGCAAGACCTCCTGGTGGAGCCTCCAAAGGAGCCTCTGCCCTCCCAGGTGCCCTCGAGAAGAGCACCCAGCTCACACGCCCACTGGAGTGCAGCGGGGAGCCATGTGCTAGGTGGCCACGTGGGCGGGAGAAGAGATGGACACGAACTCCCGGAGGATGTTTTTGGCCATGTCGATGTTGTTGTGGGCGATGAGCAAGGCTTTCTGAATGTCCTGGTAGGAGTACCCCTGGCTCAGGAGGCTCTCGATCTCACTGGAGAGCTGAGGCGAGGCGGCCGCGGCACTGGCGCCCTGCTGACAGCTGCCTGCTTTCCGCTCAGAGTTGATTCTCCGGGGGAACGGTTTAGGGGGGCGCTCAGGAACCTGGGAACCCTCAGTGAAGTCTAGAAGAACAGAAAAGACAATGTTTGCAAATCCTCAATTAATGGCCAAAGTAATACGATCAAGATATCATCGGGTACACAGGCACTCCAGTCACAAGGCTGGGTTTTCCAGGTTCAAGGGTTTTAGGACTGTCTCCTCCTTGTCATAGTAGGATCCCCCTTCTAAATATACCACACACCTGTCCCACTAAGTAACCGTTGCTGCCGTGGCCTGTAACATCCGTACCACACTTTACTCTTAGCAACAAGTTTTCACGCACGATTATCTAGCTTCTGTTATTTTTTAATTCTGAAGGGATCAGAGGAGAGACACTAAGCTGCCCCTTCCAGAACGGAGAAGAGAGCTGTGGCCATGAAAAGGCTGCGTGAGGGTCACCCTGCCCGGACAACTGGCTGCCCCGGATCTCTGTCACCAGCTGTCCTGGAGGCTGGCTTTAATTTCCCAAGGGACAACTCTGACTGCTGTCCTCCCAGGCGGCCACAGGTGCGAGCAGAGCAGCTCTCGACAGTCAAGGCCCAGTGGGAGCTGGCTCCAGGCCCACGCTGCGTGCATTCCAAACCACCAGCCTCCATTTCCAGTGGGAGGGGCCCAGGAGAAAAGGAGTGGACAAGGCAGACTCAGCAGAGCCGGAAATCCTGCTGACCCCATCACAAGGGCCTGTGGTTCAAGGAACAGCCTCATTTCTAAGTCTGGCAAAGTCCTGAGTCTGACTGCAGTGGCACTTCCCAGGAGGGGACCCAGGAGCCGCTTTCTTCCTGCTTAGACAGAACTTCCGCAGGTGGCCTTAGCCCCCCTGGGGAGGTCAGCTCTGTTTTGGCATAAACAGCGAGGCACACAGCAATCGGGAGGAGCCCAAGGCAGCCTGGAGACTCACTTGTTGTGGGGTCACCATCCAGAGACAACCAGCCAAGGGAGGAGCTGGCATTCGAGATGTCTGAGAGAGTGCGGCGGGCCAGCACTGCCGGCACAGGCGGCTTGGGGACATCGTACCCATCGTCCTCGTTTTCTGATTCCTCGGGGCCAGGGTTGGCCGGGGTTGCCGCCAAAGTCCCTTCACCTGGAAAAGAGCTTCTGGGTTACCTTCTTCAACTGACAGCACGCACCCTGTAACCTGTTTCAACAGAACGGCACCCACTCATTCACACACACACACCACCTTCTACTTCACTCAACAATTCCTGAAGGCCCGCTAGGGCCCGACCACGGTCATGTAAGGCCTTGTGGACAGAGATAAAAGAACTAAAATGCACACCAATCCTGTAAGGCTCTTTTTTCAACGTGTCAAGGGTTATTCCTGCCAAGGTTAACAGCCAGTGATGCCAAAGACTCAAGCATCCATGCAACACTTGTCTCTGCATTTCACCTCAGAAGATCGGCCAAAGGGCCTGTGTGTGCAGGCTTCTTGACCTTTCAACTTGGTAAGCGAGTTACCATGGGAATTGAGTGTTCACCGCCCACACATGAAAGAATGTCATCACTGCAATGGGAATCAGAGGGAGCGGCCAGCAGCACACGTCCAGGTCATACAACACAAAGGTCTTCGGGCCCTGGGAGGCCAGGAGAGCAGAAAGAGAATGAGCTGTGTGCACAGCAAAGAAGCAAGGGGTCTTTACCGGGCATGGATCACAGACATTTTGCCGAAGAAGATTATTAAAAAGAACTTTCTGCTTGGCTCCAGCTTTCTCATTAGCCAAATGCTCGTACTACAGGCTCATTCTTAAGGCACATCACTGAGTTTAAAGTGGCAGATGGGCTACTCACCCAGTGTGCTGCTCTCAGGGACGGATGGCACTTGGGACTGGATGTTATACATGGCTTCGTACGTGCAGCTATCGATCTGCTCGTCACCGTCACATGTCCTGAGTCAGAAGGCAAACAGCATTAAGGGTCTTTGGAAACAAACCTGTGTTACCTGCCAACTTAGCAAGACTCATCTGTGCCCCACCCGGCCCTGACTCCATCAAGGTCTCCTTCTGTGTTACATTGAGAACCGGCAGGAGGGGAACTCCTAACGAGAGCTGAAGATGTGTGCACTGCTGAGGTTACTGTGATGTGGGGGAAACCCAACTGGAACTGCTTACACTTAACAAAGACTTCAAACACTAGGCACTAGTGTTCTACAATTCCTTTTCTGCTTGATTTCTGGCTGGGTAGCACTATGTGTAGGTAGCAGGCCAAGCAGCTGAGGGATGTCAACTCAATTATCCAGATTAAGGAGTCTGGTCCAAAACAGGGTTACTGTGAACCTACCATGAACTCTGGGTCATCTCCAAAGGCCGTTTCGGCTCTGGCTTTTGAAGTCCCACAGGCCTCGAGGAAGGAGTCATATACTCTGCGTCCTCCTCACTCTCACCCTGTTCCCCAGGCGGCAGTTTGGGCACAGGAAGAGGTCTAGCAGGTGAAGAACAGAGGCAGGGAGGAGAAAGAACTAATACGTTAACAGAAAACTTTCAAGAATGAGATCAGTGGCTTCAAAACAGACACAACTCAAATTTATTACTGAATTTTTATTTACTTATTTATTTGAAAGAGAGAGAGAGACACACACACACAGAGTGCATTCCCACCCACTGGCTCACTCCCCAAATGCCTCCAACAGCTTGTGGGGGAGAGCGGGGACTACAGTAACTCTCCCAGATGGTGGTGGCAGGAACCCAACGACGAGCTGTTACCGCTGCCTCCCAGATTCTCCACTAACAGAAAGCTGGCCATCAGGAGCAGGAAGCTGCACTCAACCCAGGTACTGCAATATGAGATGCAGGCATCTTAACCAGCAGGCCAAATGCCTGCCCCACAGCTCCAATACGACAGTGCAAAACACAGGCCACCTAGAGAACTGCTGATCTACTACCAAAACCGGTCATTACTACAAAGCACACTAATTAAAAGTTCACTTTCAGGGCCAGTGCTGGGGCACGGCGGATTAAGCTGACAGCTGCAGTGCTGGAATCCCGTATGGGCACCAGTTTGGGTCCCAGTTGCTCTACTTCTTTTTCCCCTTCTTTTTTATTTTAGATTTATTCATTTATTTACTTGAACGGCAGAGCCAGGGAGAGACAGATGGAAAGGTCTCTGATCTGCTGGTTCATTCCCCCATGGCTGCAATGGCTGGAGCTGGGCCAGTACAGGAGCTTTATCTAGGTCTCCCACACAGGTGCAGGGGCCCAAGCACTTGGGTCATCCTCCACTGTCTTCCCAGGAACATTAGCAGGGAGCTGGATCAGAAGCAGAGCAGCCAGGACTTGGACCAGTGCCTGTATGGGATGCCAGCATCGCAGGTGGTGACTTCACCTGCTACACCACAGCGCCAGCCCCAGGCTTTACCTCTGATCCAGCTCTTTGACAATGTGCCTGGGAAAAGCAGTGGAAAATGGTCCAAGTTTGGGCCTCTGAACCCACGTGGAAGACCCAGATAACCTGGCCAGTTGGGGAGTAAACCAGCAGAAGGAAGATTCTCTCTGCCTCTACCTGTCACTCTGTAACTCTGCCTTTCAAGTAAATAAATCTTTTTTTTTTTTTTTAAATAATTCACTTTCAGCTGATCAAAAGTGTGCTTATCATGCTCACGAAGCATCACACCTGGGATGGGTACCTGGTATCACTTAGTCCCACTCCCCAGATAGGTGTCCTAGTCAAGGCCTGGTCCTGGAGCTAGTACCCCAATTTTTCTTTCACGAGGAAGCAAATAAGAGCAGGGAGCTTCCTGACAACATCTTGGCGATGTACGTGCAGCAAATTCCAATTCTAAAATCCACCCATGCTTGCAAATGATACACTGATCATCAAAAACTTTCTCCTATAACACCTTAGAGTATAAACACTTTTCTCCTTTATTTTATATGAGAAAAATCTGAAATAAAGGAAGATAAAGTGACTTGAGAGTTAGCATCCATTCTGGGACAAGTGCCAGTCTTCCGCTTTGGGGGATCTTGCTGTCACACCCAAAGCCCTCAGCCAGAAGCTTTGGGAACAAAGCTCTCCCTGCCCCCTGCCCCCTGAAGGGAGACAAAGACCCAGCTGCACGAGAAACACACACCTAGAACTGCTTCTTGGACTGTGAATTCACCGTGTCTCCTCCCTTCCCTTTTGCTCCTGGATGGAGTTCCTGGCTCCTGGCTTTGGCCTGGCTCAGAATCAGCTGTCGTGGGCATTTGGAGAGTGAACCAGTATATGGAAGCTCTCTCCCTCTCTGTCTCCAGGCCTTTCACATAAAGAAAAATGAATAAACACTATCTGAAAATAAATAAGGATAAAAAAATTGTAGAATCCATGTATATAAGGTCTTCAAAAAGTTGATGGGAAGCGGATGTTATGAGAAAGCATATTGTATGCATGACTTACACATTTTCCATTTTCCACGAACCTCTGAAATGCTCTCATACAAGCAGCATCCTTTTTGCATTTATTGGTCTCTCTGTACTTACTGGTGTTTAGTTTTCCTAACTATAAAACCAACAAATGCTTACTACAAAGTACTTTATGTCTATATTACTATTATCATTGAAAAATGAAAAAAGCATTAAAAAATGATTATTTGAAAGGCAGAGTGACAGAAAGATATAGGGGGAGACAGAGATAGAGAGAAAGAGATACCATCTGCTGGTTCACTCCCCAAATGCCTTCAAACAGCTCCCATGGGACCAGGCTGACGCCAGGAGCCCAGAACACTAACTGGGTCTCCAGGTGCACGGCAACAACCCCAGCACTTGAGCCATCACCTGCCGCCTCCCAGGTGTATTAGCAGGGAGCTGGATCAAGAGCAGAGACAAAACTTGACCCCAGGCCTCTGATATGGGATGTGAGCACCCTGGGTGGCAGCTTATCCAGCTGTACCACAATGCCACTCTTAATTCTATCTTTCGATGAAGTTTTTGAAGTAGCATAGAGAAAATCACATGAGAGCATTACAGTAAAAATACAGGCAACCAGGGAACCACCGGAAAAAAAAAAAAGTCCTATGAGCACCCAGAAAAAGAAACGTTACCCATAAAGGAACGACACGAAGGCCGAGAGCTACCTCCAGAAGATGATGTAGAATGATATTTTTAAAGAGCTAAAAGAAAATAACCACTTCGGGATACTGCACCCAATGAACACATATTTTTTAAAAATGGAAATGAAATAAAGACATTTGTATGTTCAGTCAAAACGAATCAGAATCCAGAGAGAAGATAACACACGCACACAGGCTCACGGAAGTGCTTCGGGCAGACAGAGTCCAGATGGCAAAGCAGGAAGAAATGAGCAGTCCCAGAGGATAAACTTGTGGGAAAAGTAAGCATGCAGGAAGACTTAAGAATGCTGATTTAAAGTGTACTCTACCCAGTCAAGGGCACATGCTGGGGTTTCTAGGACAACTGTTACAGAAGAGAAGGGGTCAGGGCACAGCAGGTTAAGCCAGCACCCCATTATCAGAGTGCTGGTTTGAGTCCCAGCCGCTCTGTTTCTGATCCAGCTCCCTCCTAGAGCCTTCCTCTGGGAAAGCAGCTGAAGATGACCCAAGTGCCTGGGCCCCTGCCACCCATGCGGGAGACTCAGAGGGAGGTGCTGACCCCTGCTTCAGCCTGGCCTGGTCCCAGCCATTGTAGCCACCTGGGGAGTGAACCAACAGATGGAGGATCTCTTTCTCTGCTTCTCCCTCTGTCACTCTGCCTTTCAAATAAATAAAAATAAATCTTAAAAAATCAGTAAATAAAAACTCAGCATTTAGCAGTCAGTGACTCTAAGTTTTTATGTACCCTAATTATACAGATGAGACACACACAACAGAAATGGACAGAACAAGTAAGGAGGAACCAATATACATTTAACGCCCTGCTCTGAGTGATGAGCAAACCTGCCCTCGCTGCCACGTGCGCGCGCACGACGCCAGCCCTGACGCACTCTCATGAAACCAGGGTGGCACACACTCCCAGATTCAGCAGCAGCTAGTCATCTGGAGTATGGCTTCTGATTGTGCAGCCAGAAAACACTAACAGAAGGGTAACCTTCAAAGGTTTAAAAATCAGGCAATCCATAAATAACTCACAAAATCACAAACGGAAAAATCATATATTTTGAACTGAATGATAATGAAAATATGATTTATCAAAATGCCTTGAATGCAGCCAAGTATCTGAGTATCTGTTAGGGCTGCCGAGAGCATTTGGGTGAGTATTTGTGGCCCCTCCATCTGCACCCACACCCGATCCATACACTGAAGCCCTCACCCCTAGTGTGGCTATATTTGGAGATAATAACTGTAGGAGGTAATCACAGCTGGTGGAGCCTGAATGGATCCAATTATTGTCCTTTTAAGAAGAGACCCCACGGGCAGGCATAGTGGCCTGGGACACCTGTACCCTGTTGCAGTGCAGGCTGGAATCCCGGCCACCCCTTCCAACCCAGCCCCGAGTGGACCGGTCCTGACTGCTGCAGGCATCTGGGGAGGAAACCGGAGATGGAAGATCTGTCTCTGCCTCTCTCTGTTGCCCCGCCTTTCAACTAGATGAAAATAAATAACTTTTTTTAAAGTAACACCCCAGAGAGCTTGCTCTGGTGCTTTCTCTCTGTCCATCCTCCCCCCTCCCTAGGTGCCACACTCCCAGCAAGGCCATGTAAGGACATGGTGAGATGGGAGGGCAGCTGTCTACCTGCCAGGAAGAGGGCTCTCATCAGAAACAGAAACAGACCCTGTGGGCATCCTGATCTGAGACTTCAGCCTCGGGAATTGTGAGAAATAAATCACCACCATTTAAACCACTCAGTCTATGGTATCTGTCACAGTCCACGGAGACCAATATACAGCATCCAACTTCTGACATCAGAAAACAGCAAACCAAATTAAAGTTGGAAAAAGAACAGAAAGCAGGCACCCAGTAGAATCACCACAGAGGGCTGGCAGTGTGGCACAGAGGGTTAGGCCACTGCTTGTCATGCCCACATCCCGTACTGGAGTGCTAGTTCCAGGCCCAACTCTGCTTCCAATCCAGCTTCCAGCTAATGTGCCTCGGAAGGCAGCTGAAAGTGATCCAAGTACCTGGGCTCCTACAGCCACATGGGAGACCTGAATGGAACTCCTGGCTCCTGGCTTTGGTCTGGCCCAGTTCCGGCTGCTGTGGGCATTCAGGGAGTGAACCAGTGGAGGGAAGTCCTCTCTCTCTTTTTCCCCTTCTCTCTCTGTCACTCTGCCTTTCAAATAATATTTTTAAAAATTATTTAAAAAGAAAACTAACACAACCAAAATTACTTCTTGGAAAAGATTAATAAAATGGACACGCTTCAACAAGGCAGATTTATGTACATGCACACAGAGAAGAGAAAAGAAGAAAATGATCCAAAACATAATATACAACTGTTGCTGCCTGGTACAGCTACAGACCAACTTTTATTTTCTTTTTCCACTTCTCTTGGTTTCCTCAATTTCCTGTAAGTGAGCCGCTGGAAAGCACAGCCCACGGTGTGCAACACAGCTTGCTTTAGTCACCGTACCTGGCAGCCAGAGAGTAGATGGCGTTGGCAGATGCAGACGGCTTGATTTTGGGGTGTTCACACTCTGGACCTGCCAGGGGGCTGCTGTTCACATTCTGGAGAGTAAAGCAAAGTGCTGAAAGAGAACCTCCTTACCGCAGCTAAGTATCTCCTCTTAATCTATTCAGTCAACAAGGACAACACACAGACACAGCCCTCTCTGTCAGTGCCCTGCCTAGGGCTCATCGCACTGACAAAGGCACGCTTTCTTTCCGGCTCTGAGGAACGTTCAAATATAAGGGTTAGGGAGACAGATCTAGAGTGAGTCAGGGGAACAGGTGTTTTTTTGTTTAGCTATCGATACAAACACCATTTCTAGTTTAAATAATCTACAACCAAACTCAAAATGGTCATTCTCCGTCGCTGCTACCACAGTCACAGCAGACTGCTACCACATGGATGCCAGCTACCCGCTCCCTTCCCGTCCCAGCAACCAAGTGCACACCATTCTCTCGTGCCACGGCTCTGCACGGCACGCTCCCACCCCGGCGTGGTCGGGTCACAGACTCCCACTTGCCGATTCCTCCATCAGCGGCGCTTCGCACATTCAGCCCGTCCCCAGGTAGCTGGGTTGAAAACCTCAGCAAGTATGGGTGCAACTTCCCGCCTTGGCCTCCACCCACTGCCTACTCCCCTCCCCAGTCTTCCTGCATCCGACTCATGCTCTCCAGGGCACTGCTCCGTCTGCCCGCTTCTACTTACCGACGGCAATGTACCCTCTGCTCCTTTAGTGCAGCTACACTAAACCCCTGGATGTTCCTTAAATGCACTCTGCCATCTGCTTCCCCTTCATTCTGGAACAATCTTTCCCAGGATCAGCACAGCCCACCCTCCCTCTGGCTCAGAAACGTAGGGGGGTCCTCCATGTGCCTTCCACCCCAGCTCCAGCTCTCCCTATACCTGAGCTGTTTTTCTCCTAACAGTCTTCTCTGTGAACAGACTACAGATCTTACTCACTCTACACTGTTTTCCTCCCACTAGAAAACAAATGTGAAGGCAAGATTTTTTGGTGAGTGCATACGTGAACCAACAGAAGACCAAACATTCCTCTCCCATCTCCCTAGTTCTAGAACCCCTATGTGCTTAGAGGAAAGACCACTGCCCTTCTCAGTCTCCTCTCTTCTTAACCATCCTGCACACACTACTACATTATCTCCCCCATTCATCATTTTGCTCATGTCACTTCACTAATTTAAAATCTGCCCACCCAACTAAATTCAAATGCTTTTGGGAAGGAGTATCCAAGGTCTTCCAATCTAGTATTACCACTGCCTCTGGTCCTGTCTAACCACAACATTTCTGCTCCACTCAAGTCGACCTACTCATCATGCCACAATACCCCTTACACCTCTCTGTTGGGGCTCCGATCCATTTTCCAAAGAAGACTTGAGTTTCGGACGCCACTCTCCATCAGGCCCTCACGGTGGCTCTGGCTGGAGGTCATGTCTCCTTTTCTAAACTGCGTGTTTTCTAGTGCCACAGCAACCACAGGAAGACACCCACAAGCTGGCCCCCACTCGCTCTACTCACACTCACGCTTTTGGAGGACGGGGATTATGCTCTAGGAGGAGTCTTCGGAAGGCTTAGGGAAAACGTGCGTTAGAAAAAACTACATGTGAATGCCTCAATTTTTTCTGCACCAAAAAAAGATTTTTTAGTTTCATTTTGCACAAACTTCCTGAAGTGCCCTCATGTTATCTCTGGATTCTATGCAAAACCTATCATATAAAACTCTGATCCCTAAGATATCACCCATAAATATTCAGTAACAGGCTAAATAATTTCAAACTTAAGACTCACCATGGAAATATCCAGACTGAATGTACTTCCAAGCCTGGGAACCTCTGCCCTGGGCTCCGTTTGTGAGGGCAAGGAAAATGGGAGTGAGTGCCGGTTGGTTAATTCTCTTCCTGTCCAGGGGTCACTGGGGCTTGGGGCAGCTACCGGTACTTTGGGGATTGGCCGGGGCAGCCATGAGTCCCCAAGGCGGCTAGAGGGGACAGGGGGCAGCTTGTCCCTGGACGGACAATCGCCTGGTGTACAGGGCAGGGGGCGTCTCTGAGGTCGGGTTTCTGCTCCAACAGAATAGGGCCGGTCTGGAGGCGGTGGTGGCGGAAGATCTCGCAGTGTGGGAGGTATTGGCAGCGGTTTGTCCTTGTGCAACGAGCCAGAGGCAGCCTGTGGAAGCACAACGGGAGGAAATCAATGAAGCCCACTAATGCACGGCGAGGACTCGGCAGACTGCAGAGATGGGTAATGCTTTACCTTCGAAGCAGTGCCAAGGCCAGAAGCACTTGGAGGAATAGACACTCGAGGATGCAAAAGGTCAAGTCGTGGTGGCACTGGGGGAAGGGAAGCTTGTGGGGCCATGGAGAACGGAGACGGAGGTCGCTCCACCTACAACAAATAAACTGTATAACCAGGTTGCTCTGGCTGGGGGAACTGGCATCAGTCAACTCCTGCCAAGGCTGCAGATGTGAACACGGACTGTGACTACCAATAGGCCAGACAGGCCTGGGTCACACAAACCCCTCGTTTTTTAAAAACTCAGAAACGTACAGATTCTAGCCCTTACTGCACTATTTTCTGTCACCATAAGAGGGCACTCTCAATCACAGAAATACCATGTAGGTGGCAAACTACAGGCAAATCCATCTGGAAACGGCAGTGCTGACAAAGTTCCCTCACTTACAGTTTTCAGCAGTATCACAGTTTTCTACTACTTTCTTTGGATGAAGAAAAAAAAATCTTTGCAGGATCAGAAACAGAACCTATATAAAAAGAATGGGACGGGCACCAGTCCCTGAACAAACCACGTGGGGAAATGTTCAGGGGGAAGAATAAGCAAGCAGAGACAGTAACTTTTCTGTGGCTTATTCTGATGAAAAGAAAAAGACAGAGATTTCTAAGAGAAAACGATCCACAATATCACCAACATCCATCCTGAGTACTCCCCAGACATAAATTATTTCAACTTGGTAACTAGAATGGGTTACTATTTTCTGTCAATTTATGTTCTAAAAAGTGAGGTGCCAACCTAGGAAAACAATGCACGTGCAGCTTTTTGCAGTGCCTGCCTGGACCAGGGCAAGGAACAGTGGTAAGCTGGCGGAAGGAAGGAAGCTGTCCAGAGGAGGGCTGGGACTTCTCTGGAATGCTATGTTGCACGTGCAGTTCCCTAACAGGAAGCCGCGCTGACGGGCAGCAGCAAACACGCATTATAGACACTACTGCAAGGCGACAGGAAAACCACGACCCCCTCCTGCGTCCTGTCAGTGCTGGCTGGCCAGCGGGAGAAAAGAAGGCCTTCATCACCAGCTACTAGCTTCCACTCGTGTGTAAGAAACACGGCGTCACGGCAGAGCACAAAGCAGTAAGAGTCAACACCAAGCAGCACACGCCAAGGACTAAGAGTCAGACGAGCAGTGAAGCTAACTCCCACTCAGCACAAACACCTCATCACTGACCCTCTCAACCGTCTCTTCTCACAAAATTCTCTTACCACAATCAGCTCTGCCATTCCTCAACAGTCGCTAACTCAAAACCCATCAGCCATTCCCAGGTTCTTATCCCATCAGACCTCTCTCTCGGGGCTGGCTTTTCCAGATCTCTCAGTCTGGCCTCCACCACCAATAGGATGTCCACAGTCCCCAACAGGTGCCACTGCTGCTCTGACCTCCCTGCGTTTGTTCAAGAAGGTTCTCTGCTCACCATCTGTCTCTGTCTCTCTCTTATGTGCAGAGGGTTAGCTAATCATATTGCTACTTCAAACTAAACATGGAGGTTACTCACCCCAAAATATGTAACTTGTACCCAGACCAAAACTGAAAAAGGCTCACTGTACTGCCTGACTATAAAAATATGAAAGCGCCAGCACTGTGGTGTAGTGGGTAAAGCCGCCACCTGCAACACCAGCATCCCAAATGGGCGCCAGTTCAAGTACCAGCTGCTCCACTTCCGATCCAGATTCCTGCTGTGGCCTGGAAAAGCAGCAGAAGATGGCCCAAGTGCTTGGACCCCTGCACCCAAGTAGGAGACCCAGAAGAAGCTCCAGGTTCCTGGCTTTGGTCCAGCCCAGATCCAGCTGTTGCAGCCATCTGGGGAGTGAACCGGCAGATGGAAGATTCTCATTTTCTCTCTCTCTCTGTCTCTTCCTTTCTCTGTGTAACTCCAACTTTCAGATAAATAAGTCTTTTAAAATATCATAAAAAAGGTCTTTAAATTTCAAATAAACACAAGTATAAATCATCATGACTTCTTTATCTTACTGCTTAGCTTCCCTAATATTCCAAGAGTTACCAGTAAACTTTTAACAACTGAAGACAGCATCTACCTAAGAACATAAAACTGCTTTAGTGGTCAAATGAACCTTTTAAATACTGACAAAGAACCTGCTATGAGGGGCCAAGACAAACAACTGTCAACTCCAAATACAAAGAACATATCGTGGCCAGTGCCGCGGCTCACTTGGCTAATCCTCCGCCTGCGGCGCCGGCACCCCAGGTTCTAGTCCCGGTTGCCCCTCTTCCAGGCCAGCTCTCTGCTGTGGCCCGGGAGTGCAGTGGAGGATGGCCCAAGTGCTTGGGCCCTGCACCCCATGGGAGACCAGGAGAAGCACCTGGCTCCTGGCTTCGAATTGGTGCAGCACACTGGCCGTGGCGACCATTTGGGGGGTGAACCAATGGAAAGGAAGACCTTTCACTCTGTCTCTCTCTCACTAATTCTGCCTGTCAATAAATAAATAAATACATAGTTTAAAAAAAAAAAACGTACTGTTCAAACAGGCCACATTTCCTCAACTACTCATTACTGATAAATCTAGGAACTTACAATGAGAATACTTTTTTTTAAAGATTTATTTTATTTATTTGAAAGAGTTACAGAGAGAGAGAGAGAGAGAGACAGAGAGAGAAGTCTTCCTTCTGTTGGTTCACTCCCCAGATGGCCACAACGGCTGGAGCTGCGCCGATCCAAAGCCAGGGCCAGGAGCCTCTTCTGGGTCTCCCATGTGAGTTCAGGGGCCCAAGAACTTGGGCCATCTTCCACTGCTATCCCAGGCCACAGTAGAGAGCTGGATCAGAAGTGGAGCAGCCGGGACTAGAACAGTGGCCCATATGGGATGCCAGTGCTTCAGGCCAGGGCGTTAACCCACTTTACCACAGCGCCAGCCCCACGATGAGAATACTTTTAATAAAATGTTCCAAGGTGCTAAGTTCTATGACAGATTCACAAGGCCCCAGAAACATCGGGCTGGGCCTAGCTTCTGCGTAGATGTGTGTGTAAAATGGGGATAGGGCTGCAGGGTACAGCCGGGCAAGGTTTCCTAGGAAACGAAGCTAAATTACACAGAAACCACCAAGAGAAAAAGGGGAGAGATTTTAAGTGGATTAGCCTGGCCAGACCACAAAACACAAAGTGGAAGAGTTTCAGGCAAAGTGCCTGGACCTGGAAAAGAGGGTGGATTGGACTGAAAAGCCGTCAATGTGTGTGAGGCAAAGGAGCGAGAGGTTCAGATCCATGGAGCAGCCCACGACTCGAGAAGCAGGAGCACCTGAGACAAGGCAACACGAACTGGATCCAGCCACTGAAGAGATAAAGCATTCTCTCAGGTGGGTCTCTCAGCACAGCAGTTCACACTTGGCACACCCGCATCTCATTATCAGAACGCTTAGGATCAAGTCCCGCCTCTGCTTCTGATCCAGCTCCCTTCTGATGCACTGGGGAGGCAGCATGATGGCCCAAGTACTTGGGTCCCTGCAACCCATGTGGGAAACCCAGACGGAGTTCCTGGCTCCTAGCTTCAGCCTGACCCAGCTACAGCTGTTGGGGGCTTTTGGGAAGTGAACCAGCAGATCAGAGATTCTCTAGTCATTCTCTTTCAAATAAATAAATAAAACTATAAACAATTTTTAACATGCTTACTGATCACCTATTATATGCTACCCAGTTAGATGCTGATATAAAGCAAAGTTTCTTTTGTATCAAGGAAATGCAGGCCAAGAATTGATAACATCCTAAACTAGAGAATCTGGTTTGCCCCACATTTAGCACAATCTTCAAGGACTGCCCGACTTCAAAGACTCATGGATCAATTCCCAGTTATCCCACCACGCGATATAACCTAACTTCCTCACATCCCGTCCCTGCCTTCCCTGGGGCCTTTCCTGGTCACGAAGCCTCTGCGTGGTACAGTACTTCCCACCAGTCTCCAAGCACTCAGATGCCATTTGTTTGATTGGTAGTGCCTTCTTTTTTTTTTTTTTAACTAATTTTCTAATGCTGAGACTCCATTAGAAAAAAAGAACAACATATCCTAATCACAGAGGTAAAATAAGGGCTAATTCTTTAACTGCGCCATTTTCTGCATGAAGCTCTATGAGCAGAAGCCCCATTCTGAGGTACACAGTAAGAATGTGGGCCTCACAGCTGGAATGCCTGGCCATAGACCCAGATTCAACTCACTCACTGTGTGATCTTCAGCACATTCCTTAACCTCTCTGTGCCTTGGTTTCTTCATCTGTTTTTTGTTTTTTGTTTTTTTGTTTTTGTTTTTTTTTTTTTTAAGATTTTTATTGTTTATTTATTTGAAAGTCAGAGTTAGAGAGAAAGGTAGAGCCAGAGGGGGGGAGGGTCTTCCACCCGCTGGTTCACTCCTCAGATGAATTCAATGGCCAGAGCTGAGCTGATCCGAAGCCAGGAGCTTCTTCTGGGTCTCCCACACAGGTACAAGGGCCCAAGCACTTGGGCCATCTTCTACTGCTTTCCCAGGCCATAGCAGAGAGCTGGATCGGAAGCAGAGCAGCTGGGACTCAAACCAGCAGGTCATGGCTTTAACCCACTACGCCACAGCACCGGCCCCTTCTTCATCTGTTAATATGAAGATAATAATGGTATCGACTCAAAGCCTTATTGTAAGGACTATGAATTAAAGTAAGTGCATTGTGGCGCTGATGCTGTGTCACACAAGCATTGCTTGTGATGCTGGCATCCCCTATCAGAACACCACACTTCAAGTCCTGGCTGCTCTGTTTCTGATCCAGCTCCCTGCTAATGTGTCTGAGGAAGCAGTGAAAGACAACTCAAATCCCCGGGTCCCTGCCACCTATGTGGGAGACCTGGATGGAGTTCTGGGCTCTTGGCCTTGACCTGGCCCAGCTCTGGCTGTTGAAAGATTTGGGGAGTGAGGCACTGCTCCAGGGCCGCCGTCCGAGAGCCACCATGCCGATGTTCGATGTTCCTCGTGAACACCAACGTGCCCCGCGCCTCCGTGCCAGACGGGCTCCTCTCGGAGCTCACCCAGCAGCTGGCGCAGGCCACGGGCAAGCCGGCCCAGTACATCGCGGTGCACGTGGTCCCGGACCAGATCATGGCGTTCGGCGGCTCGAGCGATCGGCAAGATCGGCGGCGCGCAGAACCGCACCTACAGCAAGCTGCTGTGCGGCCTGCTGTCCGAGCGCCTGCGCGTCAGCCCCGACAGGATCTACATCAACTACTTCGCCTGAGCCCTGCTCGGGCCCCCGCCCGGCCCCGCCGCCCCTGCCCGCGCCCCGCTCTGCCCCTCTGCGCCCCCGCCCTCCTGCGCGGTTGAGACGCCAAAAAAAAAAAAAAAAAAAAATTGGGGGAGTGAACCAGCAAATGGAAGCACTCTTTCTCTCTTTCCCTCTCCCTCACCATCACTCTGCCTTTCAAATTAAAAAAAAATGATTTTTGAAAAGCCAGCTATTATTGCCCTTTTACTTGGATATCATCAAGAGTCTATGGCTTTAGAACACAACTCAGACAGGATTTTGCCAGTCTCTTAAATTGCAGTCTTACCTTGGCACCAGCCAATTCCTTCATCATGAAGAGGGAATCATCAGCTCGTTCATCGTCATCGTCGTCATAGTTCGGGGAGGGAGCTCCTTCTGCTCCTTGCCTCAACAGGCTGCCACTTCCTCTAGGGTCAAACGGATCCACCACAATGGGCTCAGTACCTTTAATCTCACATCTGCAGAAAGGGCAGCCCTGACCTTCGGATTCCTGCAAAGGAAGCAGACCCTGGTAACAAATCCACCCGGAAGCACTTAGGATACCTGTCCATTCGGAAATACGTTTTCAGAAGTAAAATAGAAATTAAACATTTAAACTTACCTACAGACCAGGCTCTTTGCATCTGAAAAGGGTATGTAACATGCAATTCTTGGGAGAGATTACATGACTGAGAAAATGCATGGGTGGAGCCATACCTGCCAGGAGGTCAGACAGGATGTGCACATGAGGTGCCCACAGGGCTCGATCTTCACGTCCTTGTCGTTCTCGGCACAGATTTTGCACAGCTGGAACGTGGAGCCCATCTCACAGTATAATTCGTATTGTTCCTTTGATTAAAAGGGATTAAGAGTTATCTGTTGAATGAATGACTGCAATTACAAACGCTAACAGGAAAGGCGAAGACAGTTATGCCTTTCCATGAAACAGAAAGCATCTAGTTCAGTTCTACTTTGAGCTAAACCACACACACAAATCTACTAATCCTGTCATCCGTTTCAAATGACAGTCTTCTCTTCCATTAATTCGATGATACTGTTGTTCTCTAACTTCTATACAAAGGCTTCATGGCTATACTGTAGAACACGAATTACCTGGGTCACCTTGATGTGGTCCTGGGGAGTTGGTTCACATAAGCCTGTTAAGTCAGGGTTTTGATTTCGTCCATCAGGAAATAAATAGCTGTAAAAAGAGTAACCAACCCTGGAGGTTTACTGAAGCCAATTTATTAATACTTGCAAATTGAGACAAATGATATCTAGGAATCTCCCATTTTAAAAGGGCAACTTTATGTAAGTGTGAAGAAAAATCTTATTAATATAGAAAAAAAAAAAAAAAAAAACAGAACAGTTCCAGGAAGACGTTCTCCCATTCTCCAAACACGGATACTCCCTTGCCAGGGCACAATGCAAGAGGCTCTGTCTTTTGATCAAGGGGCTGGCAAGATGCCTCTATAAAGGGCTGGATCCAGGAGGGAATGGTTTGGGCCCTCATATCTGTAGGTTGCTATCACAGTCTTCTTTGGTTGTTGGTTTTTAAACACTTTAAAAAGAAACAATTATCTTGGCTTGAGGGTTCCATCAAAACAGTTGGGCCATAGTTTACTGATTCCTTTTAATCAATGAATGGCCACAAGATCTGAAATATTTTTATAAGAGATTTAGTTATTCAAAAGGCAGTGTGACAGAGAAAAGGGGAAGAGACACAGTCCACCGACTGGTTCACTCCCCATATGCCTGCAACAATCAGGGCTGCGCTGGGCCAAAATCAGGAGCCTGGAAGTCCATCTGGGTCTCCCAAGTGGGTGGCAGTGGACCAAGCACTTGGGCCATTTTCCGCTGCCTTCCTAGGCACATTAGCAGGGAGCTGGATTGGAACAGAGCAGCCGAGACTCAAGTGGCACTTTGATGTAGAATGCCAGTTTCACACACAGTGCTTTAATTTGCTGTGCCACATCACTGGCCCCATGATATAAATTTGTAATTTACTTTTATTTATTTATTTATTTGAAAGGAGGAGTTACAGAAAGGCAGAGGCAGAGAGAGAGAGAGACGAAGTCTCTCATCCACTGGCTCACTCCCCAAATGGCCACAACAGCCAGAGCTGAGCCAATCTGAAGCCAAGAGTCAGGAGCTTCTCTAGGTCTCCCACACGAGTGCAGGGGTCCAGGGACTTGGGCCATCTTCTACCACTTTTCCAGGCTATAGCAGAGAGCTGTATCAGAATTGGAGCAGCCAGGACTCAAACTGGTGCCCACACGGGATGTCAGCACTGCAGGTAGTGGCTTTACCTGTTAAGCCACAATGCACAATGCTGGCCCCAGTAATTTACTCTCTTTTTTTTAAAGACTTATTTTTATTTATTTGAAAGACAGAGTTACAGAGAGAGGTACAGACAGAGAGAGAGGTCTTCCATCCACTGCCCCACTCCCCAGATGGCCACAACGGCCAGAGGAGTGCCTATCCAAAGCCAGGAGCCACAAGCTTGCTCCGGATCTCCCACATGGGTGCAGGGGCCCAAGAACCCAGGCCATCCTCCACTGCTTTCCCAGGCCATAGCAGAGAGCTGGATCAAAAGAGAAGCAGCCAGGACTTGAACCGGCGCCCGTATGGGATGCCGGTGCTTCGGACCAGGGCTTTAACCCACTGCGTCACAGTGCCGGCCCCCGTAATTTACTTTTGATCAAAGACCCAAAATGTCTTTGCTTACTAGTGTAATGCACTGAGAATATCAATTTAAATGTAACACAAGAAGCAAATTAAGACAGAGATCACCTATCAGGGAGCTTCCAGCTTGAAACTGCTGACAATTGAGGGAAACTTCTTTCAGTTCCCATGCTACTGCAGAAGGTGACCCAGGGTGGGAAAGCGGGCTTTCCCAAAACACAGGCTAATCTTCTCATACCTGGTCAACTGTTGGCATTCCTAGTCCTTACCAGCCAATAACCAATCTGAATTCCTAACGACAAGCAATTCGTGAATGAGGAAGCACTCAGTCAAAAATATTAGCATAGTTTACAAAATCTGAAAGCCTGAAAAAATGCTGCTTAACCGAAATGAAGTCAGGGTAGAGGCCTCCGTGGCCTATGGCCACAACGAGCATCTCGTCGCTCTCAGGTGGCTAAACAACTGCTCGAACTTCCTGCTGACTGGTCCATTTCCATCTCATGATTTATTGATGTCTGTATTGATTTGAAAGGCAGAGTGACACAGAGGGAGAGACAGACAGAGATCTTCCACATCATGATTCACTCCTCAAATGCCTGCAACAGCTGCAGCTGGGCCAGACCAAAGCCAGGAGCCAGGAACTGCACCTCTCCCACATGGGTGACAGAGACCCCAAATACTTGGGCCATCATTTGCTGCCTCCCAGGTGCAATAGCAGGAAGCTGGATCGGAAGCGGAGGCAGGACTCAATCCCACGCACTTTGTTATGGGATGCAGGCATCCCAAGAGCTGGCTTAGCACATCCATATGTGTGCCCTGTGGTATATTTTTAAATCTAATATAAACTTGAATATAAGTTAATATTTGGAAAAGGAGAAACAACATTTACTCATGACAATAAATGAAGCAACAGAGAAAAGCAATTTCATTCACAAAATTCCTATCCAAAAAACCAAAAGTCCTATAAAAGCCTGAAGGTCAAATCAGTATGATTTATTAATATGTTCCCTCAATCTTAATCTGTAAAGAAAACCTGGAATGAAGTCAGTAATGTGAAGTTTTTATAAAAGATTTATTTATTTATTTGAAAGGCAGAGTTACAGAGAGACAGACCAAGATCTACCATCTGTTGGTTCACTCCCAGATGGCTGCATTGGCCAGCACGGGGCCAGGCCGAAGCCAGGAACCAGGAGCTTTTCCCGGGTCTCCTACATGGATGCAGGGCCCCAAGGACTGGGCCCATCTTCTGCTGCTTTTCCCAGGCCATTCGCAGGGAACTGGATCAGAAGTGCACAACCAGGTCTTGAACTGGCGCCCATATGGGATGCCAGTGTCTCAGGTGCCGGCCCCATGATGACATCTGATGGTCCCTAAGTTCCCGGCTGAGAAGCAGCAGTAGTAGATACTCACAAGCCTTCCCTGAAGCCATCGATCAGTGCTTGGAAGAGAGGTTTGTTGTGAGGGATTGTCTGGAGGATGTTCCCGTCGGCAGTGACATATCCGATAGCCCACTGACCCAGACGAGTGCAGCTCAGCCGGAAGATGTAACTGCAAACAGACACCAGAGAAGTTCATAGACACGCTGCCATGAGGGCAGAGGCGACAGAGGCAAAAATCAAAAGGACCATCGAGAACAACTTCTTCAATGACTCCAGATCAGAAGAAAAAGGGCCCATAAACTCAATTAGTAAGTGGCTGGAATGCATTTATCAAATCATAGGATCTGAGTCAGTTAATTCTTCTAATAAACAGACACCGATCCTACTGTAGCATCTCAGCCGCTGGAGATGAACAAAAGACTCCGTTCCTTCTTCTCCAGCAGAAGTCACGAGAGAACAGAACGCACAAGAAGAAAGCACTGCACCTCACGGCACTGACCTGCCCGGTTTGTGAGTGAATTTCTGGAGCCGTGCCTTCACTTCATCATAGGTCAGGAAAGCCATGTAGCCAGGATGCGTCACAGCAAGGCTGTTCCAGTTCCTGAGCAAGGAGGACCAGGGCTAGAAACAAGAGGGACATCACAGACAGGTGGGCTCAGACACACAGCCAGCTTCAGGGCAACAAGGCGCAGAAAAACCCCTCAGGCCTCTGCCCAGAGCGCTGACTGACTGTCACAGTGCTCCACTACAGGGCTTCTCCGGCAGCAGACAGACCAAAACTCTGAGAAGCTAGGAAGAAGGGAATATACGCTTACAGGAAAACACAACTACACAAAATGAAGTCTGAGAAACTGTAACGCAGCCCTAACCCAGCAGCAGTGAGGTTAAACAAACAAAAACAGAACAGGACAGAGTCCCAGATCAACACTTGGGTAAGTTGGCCTGTACATACTGGAGACACCATTATTTTTGCAGGAAGAACTAAGTTCATTCTGAAGTACTGATAAAACTCAATATCAATAGTTAAGATTTTTTTTTAATTTTTATTTATTTTTTTATTTTTTTGACAGACAGAATGGACAGTGAGAGAGAGACAGACAGAAAGGTCTTCCTTTTGCCATTGGTTCACCCTCCAATGGCCGCCACAGCCAGCGCGCTGCGGCCGGTGCATCATGCAGATCCGATGGCAGGAGCCAGGTACTTCTCCTGGTCTCCCATGGGGTGCAGGGCCCAAGCACTTGGGCCATCCTCCACTGCACTCCCTGGCCACAGCAGAGAGCTGGCCTGGAAGAGGGGCAACCGGGACAAAATCCGGCGCCCGACCGGGACTAGAACCCGGTGTGCCGGCGCCGCAAGGTGGAGGATTAGCCTGTTGAGCCACGGCGCCGGCCAATAGTTAAGAATTTTAATATTTGAAGTTAACATAGGTAAATGTCCAATAACAGAAAATGGTGAAATATACCTTTTTTCTTAGCTACTCATAATCATTAAAATAATGCAAAAGAATATTCAATAAGAAGAAGATGTGTAGGGAAGAAAGCAGATTATATGTAGCTACTATGTATTTATATCTATATATATATTTATATATATATGTATACACACACTAGAGTAGTTTTAGTCTTTTCTTTTTTTGCTTATGGTTTCTAAAATAAATTAAAACGCTTTTATCAATAGACACAATTCCAAATACTATGTTTTTAAAAAAATACTTTCTTTTCAGAAAAGTTGCAGTAACCCGTTGAAGTCAACTTTTTAGCACCCTACCTGAAAGAGTCGCGTAAAGATGTCAAACTCAAACACTGAAATGTAATCATTGCAGGTCAGGTCAATGGTAGATTTGAGAGCCATGGCCTCCAGTCCGGAGCTGATGGGATGCACTTCATGGAGAGCCTGTCGAAAGCTCTTCCAGGGGACGATGGTCCTGGGGTCGGGGTGGGAGAGAAGGCACACGTGAGCCAGCAGTCATTGCTCACTGCACCGTCAATGCCCACTGCAGCTGTCCTACAGAAGCTCAGGTGCACTCTGCATCAGGAACAGGACGAAAGGACTAAGGGGTATATTTCTTAACTTCCCAATTAATAAACTAACAACCAAGAAGTCTTCTTCTACTGCTTTTTGGCAGTTTGACACAAACTAATCCCCTTTCTTACCTTTCTGCAGACATTTTTTTTTTTTAGAAAAGTATAGAAAGAGAGATGAGATTATCCTTTTCATACAATGAATACACTCTGTGGCCATATTTTTACTGTCTAAAAATTGCATCTACCCTGACTGTAAAAGCCCATACAGCATCCTGTGTTCTTTAAGGAACCCACACTATCAGAACAGACAGAAGGAAAAGGCTCAAGGTACTGGACAGAGTTCTGAGAGAAAGGAAGAAGAGATTATTTAACATAAGAGTGATTAGCCCCAGATAACACCAGCAAGAGATACCAGATTTCTGTTTATGATCTTTAAAATGAAACAGATATAGTCTCGTTGCCTTTGGAAAGTTTATCTATTCACCTATCTTTAAACATAGCAAATAAAGTCTTTTCCAATATAGTTATTAAATTTAAAAAATAAATTTAAGCCTGTTCACACTCCTTTTGGTTTTGAAAATTCTTAGTTTATATTTTATGTATAAAACATGATTATGTATAAAACAGGATTTTTTAGAGATCAGCATTGTGGCACAGCAGGTTAAGCCTCTACTTGCAATGCCAGCATCCCATATCGGAGTGCTGGTTCAAGTCCCAGCTGCTCTACTTCCAATCCAGCTTCCTGCTAGTGTGCCTGGGAAGGCAACAGAAGATGGTCCAAGTACTTGGGACTTTTGCCACCCATATGGGAGACCCAGATGGAATTCCAGGCTCCTGGCTTCAGCCTGGCCCAGCCCCAGGAGTGAACCAGCAGATGGAAGGTCTCTCTCTCTCTAACTCTTCCTTTCTCTCTGTAACTCTGCTTTTCAAACAAATAAAGAAATAGTTAAAAAAAAAAAAAAAAAAAGCCAGAGCCTTGATTGATGATAAAAAGGGGAAGATGCCAAGTTCCCTTGCCACCTGGGAACAGAGAGCGATGAGGATCGCAGTCCACAGCACCAGCACTGGCCACATGGCGGGGCTGCTGGAACTCTCCTATACTGCCTCCAGGACTAAAAACTGCTACAGCCACTGTGAAAAGCAATTAGGCAGTACCTATTTTGTTAACAATATTTATTTTTATTCATTTGAAAGGCAGAGTGAGAGAACGAGTGAGAAAAAGAGAGCTCTATCTGCTGGTTCACTCCCCAAAGAGCCACCACAGCCAGGGCTGGGCCAGGCTGACGCCCCGAGGCAGCAACTCCATTCAGGTCTCCCACGAGGGCAGTAGGCAGCTAAGTACTTGCACCTTCTACTGCCTTCCTAGGTGCATCAGCAGGGAGCTGGATTGAAAGCCAAACAACTTGGACTTGAACCAGTGCTCTGATGGGAGACATCCATGTCACAACGCAGCTCAATCTGCTGCTGCCACACTGCTGGCACCACGTGGTGCTCAAGATGTGAAATACCACAACTTAACAATTCCACCCCAGCGATGCTAACTGAGGGAAACTCCTGCACATGAAGACACTGAGATATTGTTAACTGTGGCCTTATCTGTGAGAGCAAATGATCTGAAATGCCAATGTCCATTAACAGACAGGATGGGGGGAGGCAGGAGAAAGGGTAGAGTATTCAAAAAGCATGGACTCCATCCAAATTTGTAATTTTTTTTCCTTAAATAAATGATTAGGGCCAAAAATGTTAGTCTGAGGGCTGGCGCTGTGGTGCAGCGGGTTAAAACCCTAGCCTGAGGCCGGCGCCGCGGCTCACTAGGCTAATCCTCCGCATGCGGCGCCGGCACACCGGGTTCTAGTCCCGGTCGGGGCGCCGGATTCTGTCCCGGTTGCCCCTCTTCCAGGCCAGCTCTCTGCTGTGGCCAGGGAGTGCAGCGGAGGATGGCCCAAGTGCTTGGGCCCTGCACCCCATGGGAGACCAGGACAAGTACCTGGCTCCTGCCATCGGATCAGCGCGGTGCGCTGGCCGCAGCGCGCGGGCCGCGGCGGCCATTGGAGGGTGACCCAACGGCAAAGGAAGACCTTTCTCTCTGTCTCTCTCTCTCACTGTCCACTCTGCCTATCAATATAAAAAAATTAAGGACAAAAACAAAAACAAAAAAAACCTAGCCTGAAGCGCCGGCATCCCATATGGGCGCCAGTTCTAGTCCCAGCTGCTCCTCTTCCCATCTGACTCTCTACTATCGCCTGGGATAGCAGTGGAAGGTGGCCCAAGTCCTTAGGCCCTTACACCTGTGTGGAGACCCTGAAGAAGCTCCTGGCTCCGGATTGGCAGAGCTCTGGCCGTTGTGGCCATCTGGGGAGTGAACCAGCGGATGGAAGACCTCTCTCCCTCTCTCTCTGTCTCTACCTCTCTCTATAACTCTTTCAGATGAATAAAATAAATCTTTTAAAAAAACGTTAGTCTTTACCAAAACTAGGAAGTGGATACACACACTCATTATTTTTCTCAAAGTTGTCACACGTTTTAAGTATTCCATTAATAAAACAATAAACACAAAAAACTTACTTTTACACAAATTCCTTATTTTGAGACTTACTTTTCCCCAAAAGCTTTTCTCCAGAATTCAGCAGCGTCTGCTTTCGTGATCCGAAACGTGTCTCCTTGGAAGAGTCCACTTGGAAAGATGCCTTTCAGCTCTGCCAGCATGTGGCTGAAGATCAGGGACAGCTTGGTGAGGTTTCGCCTACAAATCGGCACAAGTGCCATCATTAGAATAACACGCAGAGTTCTTTTTATTGTCGAGACAGTGAATTCACCATACAAGACGTCTAGTTAACGGGAACACCAACATTCGTTTAGAAAGCATCCACTCCTGTACACTTTCTGGCCAGTGTTACTCAGAGATCCACAGAACTGGGGAGGAAGAGGGAAAGGAGCGCTCCGCGCTGCAGGTGTGTCTGCTCTGCTCTGGCTGTGCACGAAACCCACCCGCAGGGCGCTGCACACACCAGGCCCTCCTCGCCCCTCCACCCAAACAGAGGTAAATTTAACAATCAGGTCTTATTTTAAAGCTCTGAATCTTAAATTGATAAGGCCTAACTAATAACCCTGAAAATACACTAACACGAACACACTTTACAATTTGAAGAAGACAAATACAAGAACTCAACAAACACCTAAGTGTAAGACCTTGTGCACTGCTATAACCACTAAACCACAAGGGAAAGGAAATGTTACAAGAGCAAAATATATTATTTCCTGCTTTGCATAAACTATTTCAGATTTTAAAAAGTATATTTATCATCACCTCACCCAGATTAAAGGTAAATAAAAATCCTCAATATAAACCTAACAAATGTTTTCACTAAATCAGACCTTGAAGAGATACACTTTTACCAACACTCTTCTTTCTTTATACAAACTACAAATTTCTAAATAAGTGCATGTACTACCACTGTTTTCAACAATTAGGTAACTGTTTTTAAATTTAATAACCTCTGTTAAATGGATGTGATTATAAACATGCCACACAGTATACCATGTAACAAATTAGATGATGTCTCTACTTTTGGCTGTGTTCTTTAGTAAGCCCTTGCTGTCTTTAACACTAGTGCCACACAGAACAGGCTACGGACACTTTACATCCTGTTCTACAGCAAACCCACTATGGGCTACGCAACCTTATTTTTGCTTGCCATGATAATCTGTATTTGTTTTTTAGAAGTATATTGTTGTCATACTAATGGGCTACAAAATTTCAATCAAGTCATAATCACCTACTGATTGACTAAAAATCTGGCTAAATATAGATTTTTCTTTTTCTGTGCCCTACAGGAGGGTCAGCATCATTGAGTGCCACCTTTGCTCTCCCCTGGTAAAATGCAGCCACATCAGCCAAGTCTCTTTAGCCTTGATCCTTTTGTAAAATGCTATGAAAACCTTTCTGGCCATCTTTTCAACAAATCAGCTTCAGGTTTTCACTATTTGTCGCCTCTATATCACTTATAGCAAGCAATTCCCCTTCTAGTTTGCTGTTAGATTTTTGAAGCCAGCTACAAAAGTGGTAAAATTAACATTCTTTGAAAATAGTCTAAAATAATTCACTGACCAAATAGCTCAAGGGTACAAAAAATATAAGCACTGATGCAATCCCTAACCCCATTAGGGTTATGCACTTAGAGATCTTTCTATTACTGCTGGTTAGGGCTTCTGCCATCTACCAAGGAGGAAACAAAAATAGCCAAGATCAAGAATACATCACAAACGGAATATGAAGTCGACAACCTGAGAAAAAACATGCAAAGTACAAATTATTCTCAACCAATTTACTGGACTGTACAGTACATCAGTGGGCTGGGTCTCAGATATCCTGCTGGGGGACCCATGACCCCTTTAAGAATACCCAATAATTTAGAGCCTACTGCAGGTAAAGAACTGCACTAAGGCTAGCAGTGGGGCCGGTGCTGCTCTACTTCCAATCCAGCTCCCCGCTATGGCCTGGGAAAGCAGTGGAAGACAGCCAAGTGCTTGGGCCCTGTACTGGCGTGGGAGACCCAGAGAAAGCTCCTGGCTCTGCATCAGCCCAGCTCCAGCCATTGTGGCCATTTGGAGAGTGAACCAAAGGATGGAAGATGTCGCTCCCCCTCTTCGTGGAGGAACGACACAGGACCCTGCGCTGTTCTTTCGTCTGCTCGGCCCTCCCCGGGTTTGCTGCTGGTTCTTCCCGGGTTGGCTACTATCCCTTCCACCTCCGTGGAAGGGCAGTTCCCCCTGGCCGCATTCCCCACTTCCGCAGGGGAGCGGCACACCGCCGGCCGGCTTTCTTCGGGGGCTGCACGGGTTCCCTTAGATGTTCCCCATAGATGTTCCTGGTGCATGCCGTCTCTCTCCTCCTTTATAGTCCTCCTCCGCCAATCCCAACTCGGCTGCCCACACGCCGAGTACGCTGCTCTCCTCCAATCAGGAGCAAGTCCTACAGTTAATTGGTTGAACTGGAGGCAGCTGTGCGGAAGCTGTTTACTTCTCTCCCAGCGCCATATTGTGGGAGAGCAGATGCATAGAATAAGTCTTAATTCCAGTAACAGTCTAGTCCGAGCTGCTCCCCACAGATCCCCCTTTCTTTTTATTTTTGGCGTTGATACGCGCCTGTCTTCGGTGTCCCGCGGCACACACTCTGCTCTACTTGCTAGAGTTGCCACAGGCTCTTACAAGTCCTATCAATCAGGAAAACCGAATCCGGGTCCTCTCTTCGCCATTGTGAGGAGGTTTTTAGGCGCTGATGCGTGCCTGTGTTCGGTGCCCTGCAGCGCATGCTCTGCTCTGCTAGAACTGCCTGCAGGTGTTTACAAAACCTATCAGGCAAACCGAATCCGAGCCTTCTCATTGCCTTATTGTGGGGGAGACTTATTAGTGTTGGTTCGTGCCTATCTTCGGTGACCTGCAGCTCATACTCTGGTCGAGCTTTGCTGGCGCTTACCGCCTTAAATCAGGCAGACCGAATCCAAGCCTCCTAATTGTTGCATTGTGGGGAAGCTTTACTGATGTTAATTCGTGCCTGTCTTCGGTGACCTGCGGCGCATAAGCTGCTAGCTGCCCGCAGGTGCTCATCGCCTCACTTGATTAGGCAGACCGAATCCAAGCCTTCTAATTGGCATGTTGAGGGGAGGCCTTATTTCTCTCTATTTCTCTATCTCCGGGCATTCCTATTTCTCCCATTTTACTTCTATCTTCCAGCATTCCTATTTCTCTCACTTTACTTCTAAAACTTCTGTTTCTCTTATCCCTGCAGCTTCCTGGCACCTCGCCCCGCCGGCGGGTTCCCGGCTCTGCGCCGCTTCAGCCCGCGCGCCTCTCTCATCTGTGCAGCTTCCCGGCTTTGCGCGGCTCGGCTTCGCGCGCTCCGCGGTCTCCACGCTTAACCCTTTCGCGTCTGAACCACGGCCTACGCCAGCCCCGTTCCCTATCTATTCACGCCCCGTGCTCTCTCTGCACGCGGCGGCTTCCGCGAGTAACACAGCGTAGCTTGCGTCTCCACCACTAGCATTCAATCTAAGTTCCCCGGGCTAGCCTGGCGAATTCAACCCAGCGTACGTCTCCGCCCCACGGTTTGGCTTCCCGTCCTTTGCTCCCCGGGCTAATCAGACGGATCCCAATCTGGCTTACGTCTCAGCTTCTGGTTTCAACTTTTCGCCCCCTATTCCCGGGCTAACTTGAGAACCCCAAAGTGGCTTCCGTTTCCGCCTCGGCCTGCCCCCCGCGGCTTCAATTTCCCTAACATTTTTCTCTACCCGGTATGTTTCCCTAAGTTTTCTTCCAACAATATTCCTCCCTCGTTTCTCCTGGCCTCTCCCCACAGTCCGCGTCTGAGTCTGTTTGTTCTAGCTTTCACTTTCGCTTTTGACCTTAGAGATTTCTCCCAGCTTCCCCCCGTAGTCCGTATCCGAGTCTATGCCTAGGCTTTCAATAGCTTCTTCCGGCACCCTTTTCGTCCGGCTTTTCCCTAGGCTGTTTGCTAGTCTCTCTCTCCGATATTTTTCCCAATTCTTCCCGTTTCTTCCCGTTTCTTCCCTCCTAAGTTTGCTATCCGTCCTAGGTTTCCTATCCGAGTCACGGCACCATTATGTCGCTCCCCCTCTTCGTGGAGGAACAACACAGGACCCTGCGCTGTTCTTTCGTCTGCTCGGCCCTCCCCGGGTTTGCTGCTGGTTCTTCCCGGGTTGGCTACTATCCCTTCCACCTCCGTGGAAGGGCAGTTCCCCCTGGCCGCATTCCCCACTTCCGCAGGGGAGCGGCACACCGCCGGCCGGCTTTCTTCGGGGGCTGCACGGGTTCCCTTAGATGTTCCCCATAGATGTTCCTGGTGCATGCCGTCTCTCTCCTCCTTTATAGTCCTCCTCCGCCAATCCCAACTCGGCTGCCCACACGCCGAGTACGCTGCTCTCCTCCAATCAGGAGCAAGTCCTACAGTTAATTGGTTGAACTGGAGGCAGCTGTGCGGAAGCTGTTTACTTCTCTCCCAGCGCCATATTGTGGGAGAGCAGATGCATAGAATAAGTCTTAATTCCAGTAACAGTCTAGTCCGAGCTGCTCCCCACAGGAAGACCTCTCTCTCTCTCTCTCAATCTCTCACTCTCTGCCCCTGCCTCTCTGTAACTCTGCCTTTCAAGTAAATAAATCTTTAAAAGAAAAAAAAAAAAGAAAGAAAGAAAGAAAAGCTTAGTCATTAAGTGTTGCAGTTAAAACAAAGCTGGGAGTATTCCGACATCCCACATCAGAGTGCGTGGGTTCAAGTCCCAGCACTGCTCCTGACTCCAGCTTCCTGCTGACGTGCACCCTGGGATGCAACAGGTGATGTCTAAGCACCCCGGGTCCTGCCACCCACATGGAAAACCTGGATTGAGTTTACAGCTCCTGGCTTTGGCCTGGCCCAACCCTGCTGTTGTAGGCATTTGGGGAGTGAACAACAGGGCAGGAGATTGGTCTACCTTTCTTTCAAATAAAAATCAATAAATAATTTTTAAAAGAAAGAATGCTATTAAACAATACAGGAGGGTAACATATAAAACAAATAGTTTACAAAACAGCTATTTCTGAAGAACACAGCTTTGAATTTTATTTCTATCTGAAAATACCTTTCCTTGGTTTTTCCAATATTTTAAAATCGTGATTCATTCTCCCATTTGAGAAGCAAAGAGAGGAGAGAAAAAGAGAACTCCTGTTTGCTGACCTTCCCCCAAGTACGCA